CAGTCCTCTCTTCAGTCCTCTGCACTGCCTGTCCTCTCTTCAGTCCTCTCTTCAGTCTTCTCTTCCGTCCTCTTTCACCCAGATTACCTCAGGTCACGTCAGTGTGCACTTAAAGGGGAAGTACAACGAAGGGACTGTGATGCGTTCACGTACCGTTGTAAACAAAGCAGTGTCTGTGAAAAACTACATCAATAAAACACCACACGAGGGCGCCGCCACCCCAGGCCCACGTGCGACTGATCTCAGCTGGATTCATTTCCTCAGGTTTATTCTACTTTATAATATTTATGTATCATCACGAACTGTATGATGCTGCTCAAATAAAACGGTTGTTAGTTGCACACTCATGACACAATCTGAGGTTTTCTGTGAGTTAAATAAAGAAGAAATACACAAAATTCGAGAAATTAAATAAAACACAACTTTGTACTATAGAAAAACAATAAACCAGATTTAGACACAGTTCCAGCAAGTATGGAGCCGCATGATCGATGACGAAGGCCCAACACGGTTGTAATTGTACTTGAGTGATGAAAATTCCAAATCAATTTTCAGTTAATCAATTTATGTGGACACAAGAGTTGTGGAATAAACCGAGGGCTTTGGATGCCCCCTGGGTAGTTTCTGGTGATCTGCTCCAGCAGTTCAGCATCATTTGTTTCTCTCAACAACACAAAGCTGGACTTATAATACAGAGATCAGTTTTTATAGTTTTAAAGTTAATTTCCCCGAAATCACATTTTCCTACACAAACACCCAATTTACTGCTTGATTTACAACGCATCAGAACGTTCTGTATTTTTTTGTTTTGTTTGTGTTTTTCTCACTGGTTGAAAGTAGGAAGATGAAAATCATGATGTTGCATATTTCCATACATGGGTATTTAGAGCTGTCTCTGTAAAATCAGCTGCCTGCTGCGCCCTCAAATTACGTCATGAGAGCATGAGGGTGAACTAAAGCAGTTAAGTTTGGAACGATCAGATAAACAAATTAACTGAAACTCAGTGTAAAAAGCTCCATCAGGCCGAAGAGGGGCTGCAGACTCAGCTAACAATTCTCTGTCGCTTATAGATCTTATATATCACTTGTATAAATGTAAATTATAAAGATATCGGTTGTAACGTGAATGTTATAACTGTCTTTATTTTTGAGATTAGTTTCACCAGGACTTGAGTTGAATTACTGTGCATTTGGTTTGAATCACCAAACCTTTTGTTTGTTTGACGCTTCGTTAGTTAGTTAGTTTTATTTGTCAGCAGAAGTTATGCAGCTGAACAGATTTCCACTTCTTAACTTGATGATAGGATGAGACGTGGGATCAAGACAAAGAGATGGAGCTAGGATTTTCTTTTTTCACTTTCTTTATTGGGAGAAAAAAAAAAAGTCAGGCATATAAAGGGGACTGATGTTTATGAGTGTGTGAGCTGTGGTGAAATCTGTAATGCCAATATCAAGATGTGACATTTTTAATAAACTGGTCAGATGAAGCTGGAGACTTTGAATGTCCTATAATTCTAAATAAAAGCATTTATCTTAGTATATAATCAGAGGCAGTGCTGAAACAGTTCCTCTGTAAACTCTCCCTAATGACGGAGTGTGCTATTAAAAGCCATTATCAAACCAAACACATTTGTCTCCGTTAGGGACTAAAAATATCCTTTTCTGGTTTTTCTTTCATAGTTTAGGAAACAGCTGCCAGACAGTCATCCGGGTGATGCAACCGCTCAGGAACGTCGACCGAGAAACCACAGGAATAATTCACATTCCTGCAGAAAGCACGTCAGCATGAGCACACACACACACACACACACACACACACACACACACACTCAGATGTGTGGTTGGTCCATTAAATTAATGATATTTGGATCTGAGTCGTTGACTGACGTTATAGGTGAAACCTCTACATGCTTCTTGGCTGTGGACAATTACATTTCATCAGAGCGTTAGTGTTTATTAATCTTCACAAGCAACTGAAATAACAATTGTTGAATTGTTTGAATTGTTTAATTAACACCTTAATTAAAGTAAAGGTCTCAGGGTGTAGTCAGTGTCTTTAGCTAATGAGCTAATTTCAGCACTCAACTTGTTTTCTGTAATGTTTCACTGTTTCTGTTTCTTCTGTCTTGGTCTTGAACTTTACTCAGTTTCAAAGCTGCTGATAAAACTGTTACATGACAGTGACTCAGCACAAATATTCTGTGTTTTTTACAACTTGGAACAAGTTTACTTATTGACTCACATGTGAGTGTATTTTGGAGACAATGACATTACAGCTCAGCAACAGCTGTTATTAT